GCTGCAAACTGCTTTCCTGGTGGCAATCACATCAACCAGAAGAGTGTTTACTTTGGCAAACCTGAGGTTTAAAGAACCCTTTCTTACGTTCATCCTAGATAGGGTGGTACAGATGCTCAAGATTGTGCCTAAATGGCCTTCAGAGTCTATATCACACAAAAGGTTGTCCTTCCTACATCTTTTTTGGGGAGTACCCAAGAAGTTAGCCCTTCAGATGTGGGCCAAGCTTTAAAATGTTACATCAAATGCTACATCAAGGCAACATCTCGCATCAGAAAGCCAGAGCACTTGTTTGTCATTCCAGGTGGAGATTGTAATGATTTCATAGCTTCCAACAAGATTATTGCCTCTTGGTTGGTGAAGTATATCTCCTTGGCCTACAAGTTGAAAGGGTTGGCTGTACCAGGGGTATCGCATCACTGTCCACCCGAAAGGTGAGTGTTCCCAGACACTATCTGCAAGGCAGCTACCTAGGGGTCAATATATACATTAATGACTTATTACTGTAGAAAAGCAGTCTTAATGACAGTTGTGTTTAGCAGAGGTATGTTGGCTTCTGCTTTCAGTCAGAATGGAGGAGTGTGTAGCATTATCCCTCCCCTGTGTGGCTAGTTAGTTCTCAGCTGTGCTGACATGGAGCTGTCAGGAAAACTAAAAATTGAATGACAGATACTTACTAAAATTTTCCTTTCCTAACAAGCTCCATGTCAGCACAATTCCCACCCAGGTTGGTAGGACTAGTTACAGAACGCCGAGACTGCAGGTGGGCTAAAATTTATGAGTTAGGTCCTGGAAGCATGGGGGGGGGCTTACCCAGCTGTGCTGACATGGAGCCTGTCAGGAAAGGAAAATTACGGTAATTATCTGTCATTCAATGTTCTGTTTTTTTGTTATGTCCTCTCGTCCAAGAAGTTAGTTACACATTCTTAGATCCAGACAGACTTATATCTTAAAAGACTGTGCTGCAGCTTAATTGGAAACGAGTGGTTAGCAAAGGCTTATTTCATTCTATAGAGCTGGCTATACACTAGTAGATTTCTGAATAAACATTTGTACGCACATTTGCATGAAAAGTCTTTGCACATTTGATGACTGAACGTGCTTCAAATTTTTATTTGCTTTTAATATTTGATATTGGATTGAATGTAATTTCTGGAACAAAAACAACATTCAATGTTAGAAAATAGTTATTTGAGAAACAAATTAGTTCTTTTTCTTTGAGAAAAAATTCCATCCTGCTCTTTCAAGTTTTTCATCACTGTAGTTGAAAATGAATGTCAATTGACCCTACTAATGATTAAAACATCAAATAAATGTTCCGAAAATTAAAACATTTGAGCAAAATTCTACTAGTGTATAGCCAGTTCAAGGGTAATTTACAGATATGCAACATTGTGATGGACACTGTGGAGTTCCAAGCTACATTTTCAATCTTTCTGAGTGCCTGCTTCCCTGGCTTGGGACTGCTGTCAGCACACAACATCAATGATTCAATTCCAAAGGAGGGAAGGGGAATGAAATCAAAGTAAGGAAAAACAGCAAAAAGAAACAGGAAGGAAAAAAAAAGAGATGACATGTTAATAGGAAATGGCCTCATTAACATTCCATCATATTATGCTACCTGGTCCACCATATTTCAATAAAGGTGTCCAGGGGGCTTCTGGTCTTTTACGACCCTATCAACAACCATAAATAACAGCCTACCTTTGAAATTGAAAGTCACTACCCTGCCCTTTGATTTCCCCAATAATTCTGTGAAACAATGCAAAGACAAAATGGCAGATAAAGACGGTATGGGACCTCCACAGACAGCTAATCTCTTTTCAGGCAACATCTGGATAAATAAAAGCTTTATGTGTTATTGCACACACTAAATCCCACCCAACCCTGAGTTTTCAGCAAAGGACAGCTGGATACTTTTGGCCTAGAGGATAAAGTTGAGTGGCTCATTCAAAACGCTAGAAACCACTCAAATATTTGCAGTAAGATTGTTACGGGAAAGAATTCTTAGAGTGAGACATAATGGTTCAGCCTGATATCCTGTTGCTAAATAGACCATACAACTATAAAGCATAAGCAATCACAGGGGAATTTGGGAAAGAGAAACATGATCATATATTTGTATGATTGATATTTGTAGAATCCAAAAGAGCCAATTTGTTTATTTTAGTGCTTTTCCTAGAGTTACAGAAATTATTTCCATTACTGGCTGTAATTCTTTCAATTATGATAGGACAGTGCCACTTTCACCTTTTTAATGTTTTACAACATGATTGTAGTAACAATGGCTTAAGATATGTGATACACCAAATTGCTTAGCTTGCATTTCAATCAAAATTTGCCTGTGACTGAGACATTTTGCAACAGCTTATAATACTGTTTTTTAATTAATACTACAGGTTGCATGAAAATAAAATAATATTAGGTGTTTTTTTAATGCTGACAGGTATCAAATACATCAAAGTTTAAAAGAGTTTTTACAAAATAAAAAAAAAGCTATTTGGATGGAACCCCAGACATATTAAACAGATTTCATTACAATACGTATGATTTTTTCCCAAATGAAAAACCACATTCACAGTTACATTTTGCTAATTCCAAAAAAAAAATTTTCATTCTGCTTCTTTGAATTTTCTCATCAGAATAGTCGAAAAAGAACATTTTGATTGGCCCCACTAACCATTAGAAAATTGAATGATTGTGCTGAAAACAAACATTTCAAACAAGATTCTACTGCTGTATGGCCAGTTTAAAACTAGTGGGAAGTACAGTACATGAAAGAGAAGCAGTTGCATCAGATAGGTATTTACTGGACACAATTTGTGGCTAATGTCCTCAGGTAAATGCTTTTCCTATGCAAGTGTCATCTTCTGAAGATAACTAAATGGCTTAAAGCTTGTGCAAAGTACTTTATATTCCATTCTCATGGCGTAGACAAATGTACCACATCAGTAATATAAAGAAATTGCTTTCCATCCTTCTAATTCTTTCTTATATAACAGCTCAGGACAAAATAATGTTTCAATCCTTTTTCCCCATGTTAACCCTAATCAGAGTAGGAATCAAGCAGATGTCAGAGGTCAGGAATTCAGCTGTTCCCATCCTTTGACACTCATAGGACGATGGGGCTAATGCTTTGCCAGTGACCTCTGACCCCACAATGGTCCTGCAAAGGTCAGTGTTGGGCATTGGCAGCACAAAGAGCCGCCCCACTAACACACTCTACCCTTCCACCTCACTAAAGTGCTTCAGTACTTCACAACAGAGCTTCAAGAATATAAAGGCGAGCCACCCGAGGCAATAATACAGACACAAGTGTGATTTCAAACAACAAGCCAGACCACAATTATTAGGGACAGCTAATTAATGACGTATGTTATTTAAAGCCTTTGAAGTTTTTCGCCTAGCACCAAATGACTGCGATACTTGAAATACTACTGATGTGCGTATTCATCTATTTCAGCATTGTCGGCTTTATTTAATACTATAGTGGAGAGCGATGATAGAGAACTCTTGTGAAGTCACACAAAGAGTTCTACTTGGTTGCCAAATGCAGCTTAAGTTTTGTCTTTTAAAGTGAAGCTGAATGGACAAAGCGGGAAGTTCACCTTAATACTGGTCCTAACAGTAGCTTATACTTCCCATTATTTTGTTCCAGGAAAGCAAGAGTGACCCACTCTCCTTCCTCCCATCTGACAATAATGATGCTTGCCAACTGGCAAGGACTTGCCAGGGACCAATGCTGTAATGCTGGGATGGGCAAAACTTGGTAAGGTCAAAACTTTTGGCTTCTACTGGGATTTTATCCATGCTCCTGCAGGTGCTAAGATCACCAGGGACAAAGGCAATGTCCAACTGGCCATACAAGGAGTGATTTTTGGACAGTTCCCAAAATTCAAGCTGTGGGTAGCCCAGTCAGCATACTCCCACCCAATCTCCCTTGATCTGACATTTGAAGACAGAAAACTGTTGGCTTACCAGGGACTGCTTCCAAACAGATGCAGGCACTGGAGACACACGTGTCTGCTGTCAGAATACAGTAGTTGGTAAAAGAGATTTGCCTATCCACACTGTTTAGCATGGTTGGAGGAATCAAGTGATTTCTCTCACTCTCTTTCATCTTACAGTGTACGACCAGCTTAAAGTGGTTGTAAAAGCAGAAGATTTTTTACCTTAATTCATTCCCCCAGCCACCCAGGGCCCCCCCCCCAGCCCCCATTCCCCATTCCCCCCTACTTACCTGAGCCCAATCTCGATCCAACTATGTGCGTGAGAGCAGCAGCTCTCTCGGCTCTCTCTCCCCTCATTGGACAGAGAGGCAGCAGCAGAAGTCATTGGCTCATGTTGCTATCAATCGCAGCCAGTGAGAAGAAGGTGAGTGGCGCTGAGCCATGCTCTGTGTGTTTATGGACACACAGAGGCAGCTCAAACGTGAGCATACACAAATTCCCCCAATAGCAGGTGTCTTGCCATAGGGGCACTTGGCAATGATGAGGGGCCAGAAGCGGTGGCGGGGGACCCAAGAAGAGGAGGATCAGAGCTGCTCTGTGCAAAACCATGTCACAGAGAAGGTAAGTATGATAAAAACATTTTACCTTTAGTAGCATTTTAAATAGAAACAGCTCCATAGGTACAGCACATGTTCAATCTGAATAAAGCATTCAGTATATATTTAAACCAGCTCAGATTAAAAAAAGACAAAAAGAAATAAATACAAATGATTGTTTGATGCTAGTATCTGTTTATAAACCCTTTCACAGCCAGAGCCTTTTTTGCACACATGTATAAAAAAAAAAAATTTAGACCTGAAGATTACACAAACCCCCCAAACATTATATATTTTATGAAAGCAGACACCCTAGAGAATAAAATAGTAGTTGTTCCAATTTTTTATGTCACACAACAACTGCAAAAAGTCTAGGAAACGCAAAATTTCAGTAAAAAACACACTAAAGTGAATATTAAGGAAAACAAATGCAATAAATTACCCATATTTTTGGTCAAATATATAAGACGAGGTTGTGCCGAGTAAACAGGTAATCAACATGTCAAACTTTAACTTTGTGTGTGCCTGTGAAATGGCAACAAACTCCAGCACCCTATATTTTCTATAGGTGATGCTTCAAAACAGGGGCGGACTGACAACTCATGGGGCCCCCTGGGAAATAGGGGATCATGGGGCCCCTGTGTCCTTGCCCAAACTCAAAAAGGCCTATGAAGAAGGTACCAGGGGCATCTCATGGGGCCCCCTACTGACCCCAGGCCCTCAGGCAGTGCCCGAGTTTCCAAATGGTCAGTCCGCCCCTGCTTCAAAAGATCCTACAGGTCATCCGTTTAGTGTTACAGAGGAGGTCCTGTGCTAGAATTATTGCTCTCACTCCAGCGTGTGCGATGATATTGTAACATGTGTATTGCAATTGATGTTTTCACGTAGTGGTACCCCCAACGCTGTGTTTACATTCATACATGCATATATGTGGAGGCGGGGGCCTCAAGAAAAATTTTTTGGGGGGTGTTATGTGCTTGGGTGTAACTTTTTTTTGCAAACAAAAACATTTTGTTGTTTTACCTAACATTTTTTTTCATCACATAGGGGACACAAAGTCCCCTGTGTGATTATTTTTAGGTGACAATTTCTCTTTAACGAGACATGCAGGGTCCTCTGGGCTCCACTGCATGTACTGAAATGCAGATTGCATTGCAATACATCTCTCCCCAGCTTTTCTAGCCTGGAAAAGTGACAATGGTGACCTGGAAGTGACATCATACACGTCGCTTTTCATGTCACAGTAAGAAAGGGGAGGAGAGCGAACGTGTTTCCGCTCTCCTCTCTCCACCTGCTGGCACCCACTATGTCAGTCCTGGGTGAGCAAGCAGAGCCCGAATTACATGGTGAAAGCACACATGAGTGGGCGAGGGCATGTTACTGGGGCTGTGGAAGCAATCTGAAGGTAGTGCAACTGCCGACTGCTTTCACCTGACAGGCAGGAGTCTGCTTGTCAGTTTTAGGCACAATCCCGGTGGCTGCAGCCACTAGATTGTGTGAGAAACCCCCTGCTGTCAGGCCTGTACAATGTACGGACCTGGCAGTAAAAGGGTTGAAATGTATGTAAAACCTAACAATAAACTTCTTTTTTGGTCCCTTAAAAGTAGGCCATGGACGATGTGAAAACCAAATGAAAATTTAGAATTGTTCGTCTTTCGCATCATTATTGTACCAGTGGTGACACATGATTTTCGGCCTGCAAATAAAAGTGCCAGAAAAACAAACAATTGATGGCACAATCATATGAGCTATTTTCATTTTTCACTCGACAGAACTTTTGACTGGTCTATGGCTTACCTTATGCCTGGTACATACTATCAGTTTTTTCATTCAACCCAGCGAGTACAGCGATCTCCCCTCTGACCTACTGTGTTCTGACAAGGAGGATGCCCCCTGCCCAAACACACCAGCCATAGGTTGCCAGCACTGATCGGATGCCGATGGGATGCTGGTTTTCCAGCATGCTGATCAGCCGACTTCTGTCTGTCATGCAGGTACACACAGGCCGAATATCGGACAGTTTCTATTGAATTGGCTGATACTGGTAGATATTCAACCTGTGTGTACGGAGCTTTAGTCTGTAAATATACCCCTGGGAGCGTTTTGTTTTATCTGTTTGACAAGTTCATAAAAATACTCATGCCTAAAATCTTGTGCTTTTTGCTGCTATCAATTACTGTGTTCACTGAAAACTTCAGAATGTTTTGGGTTTAGATAGGTTTTAAGACAGTGTAAAATTTCATTTGCAATGCAAAGAAGGTAGTACTTTAGCTAACTACTACTAAAGATAATTAAACTTAATTTCATGAAATTTTTATAACTGGTTCCCTGCTACGGTTGGACTGATTAGTCAGGGTTTATGGTGTAATTGTTTGCCAACTGGGAATCATCTGAGCATGGAAAAATATGTTGTTATTATGGTGATCACATTGAGTATGCTGCCACTGTATAAGTTATTTATGTCCTGACAGGTTCATGTTATGTTTTCTTGATGGAAAGGCACAAAATGCAAAGATGCCAAATTACACTCACCAGTCACTTTATTAGGTACACCTGTTCAATTGCTTGATAGCAGAAATTGCTAATCAGTCAATCTCATGGCAGCAACTCAATGCATTTCGCCATCTAGACATGGTGAAGACGAATTGCTAAAGTGCAAACCGAGTATCAGAATGGGGAAGAAAAGGGATTTAAGTGACTTTGAATGTGGCATGGTTGTTGGTGTTAGAAGGGCTGGTCTGAGTATTTAAAAAACTGTTGATCTACTGGAATTTTCACGCACAACCATCTCTAGGGTTTACAGAGAATTGTCCGGAAAAGAGAAAATATCCAGTGAGCGGCTGTTGTGTGGACGAAATTGCCTTGTTGATGTCAGAGGTCAGAGGAGAATGGGCAGACTGGTTTGAGATGATAGAAAGGCATGCTATCATGTCAGTATGGAACAAATTCTCTGAAGAATGTTTCCAACACCTTGTTGAATCTATGCCACAAACAATTAAGACAGTTCTGAAGGCAAAAGAGGGTCCAACCCCATACTAGCAAGGTGTACCTAATAAAGTGGTCGGTGAGTGTGTATGGCAGTTATTACAAGACATGGAAACGAAGGCTGACATTAGTACCTGTTTTATACATTTTAATATTAAAACTATAGTCATGGTACTTGGGAAGCTGCAGTGCCTAAGATCTCGTGCCACAGATATACAATGTGCCTAGGCACACTCATATACCAGGAAGTGCATTGCTATTTGCCAGAGAGAAGTCAAGACAAAGTGAACATTTTTAGGGTACTTTTTTGGTAAATGTTGAGTTTAGGTCTACTTTAAAATAGATGAAACCCCAAACTGATGAAATTTAGTCTTCTGAAACAATTGACAGTTGCTTGATTTTTTTTCACCCATTTTTTTTCTGCTAAAACAAACTAGATTTAGATCTTTATTTCTTTGTTTTATTTCACTGCTGTTAATCTCCTGTAGCTTCTTTTATAACCTGTTCGTGTCTACAGGCCTGTACCTGAGTGATGGCAGCAAGGCATTTCTCAAGGGAGGTTTGCTGATGGTGACTATGGAGGACTATGTCTATATAATGTGTGTTGAAACCTCTTGTAATCTTAATAGCATCATGGGTCCCTGGGCAAAGTAAATGCGCTGGGGCCCCTACACCAGGGAGATAGTGACCTGTGGTGCGCTAGGGGAGCCACGGCAAAACGTGAGTGTGGTTAAATTATGCTACATATTGGGCGTAGCTTTTTAGTCTGATTAGAAACAATGTTTTTTTGATTTTCTAATAATTAGTGGGGTCAATTTGATGATTCTTTTCGACCGGACTGAAGAGAGAATTAAAAGAAGCAGGATTAAAAAATGTTCTTATCTGAAAGAGCGAAATTCAGTGAATATGATTTCTGTACATATTGTAATGTGCATGTGGTAGGCACAAAAAACTGTTAAATACATCTGGGATTCCATTCAAGTAGCAGGTCTATACAACATTTTAAGGGCTTTTCAGCAAAATTAGCTGACTCTCAATCATGGCAAAATCAAAAGCCATGATGAACGCTCTTTCAAATGCAATTAGAGCACTGTATGGCTAGTTTTAACAGAAGTGATATAAAATATCAAAATGTTAATATATGTTTAAAAAAGGAATTAAATAACTACCTGGAAATTAGATTAATTTATTTATATCACTGTCTGGGATGTTTTTAAATTATTGTTTTTGGAAAAGCAACATTTAATACACAAAATAAATGTACAATATATTCCAGTTTTGTAGTCATGTCATAACTGGCCATATGGTGTTTGTGGGACAGCATTACATTTGATAGGCTTTGATACATCAGCTCAGATGCAAAGTGTCCCTAGAAATAATTTAAAATGTTGGCTACTAAGCGTGGGATAAAAGAGGGGAAAAAAAGAGTAAAACAATGAAATGTTTGATCTGCATCTAAGGAAAGTGAATCAAAATGCAAGTGAGATTTTACGGATTATAATGGCGTATCACAAGCATCAAAAGAATTGGAGAATCAACCCAGCGGCTTTTCAGCATCTGTTCTTGAGCTTTGTGCCACACACATACACCGTGCCTTTGTAGGATTCCAACAATCTCTGAAAATCAGCATTACAAAAACACGAGGGGATAACAGCTTAGAACAGGGCCAGCAGTGCATTGCTGGGATCTGACAGAGGAACAGCTAACAGACCTGAACTGAAGGTACAGATAGCTTAATAATGGAAATGTATCCAGTAATTTCACAGCAGGACTCTGAAGAATGTTAAAATTCCAGCAGTGACATCACTTGAAGGTTCAACAATAGGATCACTATGACTTCAAATGGTGAATTAGCTGAGATATAATATAAAAAAACAAGTGCAGACTGGAATCATATTTAAACATCAGCGGCTTCTGATTTTCTGTTTTCTTTTTAAACACTGTTTCTTCAAGACATTCCTTATGTAAACAGCATAGCCGTTTCATCAAATCCTTAGCTAATTCACATACTTGCATGGCGCTAAACACACAAGAGTATTTTTTTTCTTCTAGTAGGTGTGGTTTGAATCATTCAAAAGTTGTTTGAAATAACTTGTTGGGTTTTGTCTTTGAACAGAATGAATGTACGGCCTTTAACTGCTATTGATCTTCACAGTTATACAGTGGTGTAGCTTTAAATCTATGTAAAATGAGGAATGTTTAAAGACATTTGCATGTCCTTGTAAGGGCCTCTGCAAAACTAGAGCATTTGCACTAGGGCAGAGCTTTCATGTTTGGTCTGGTCACTGCTGAGACACAATGGGGTGGATTTATTAAAGGCAAACAGTTTGTGCTGTTTGCAAGTACAGTTGCTTCAGAGCTTAGAAATTGAGGAGAGGATCTACTGACTGCCATCATCTTATGTGCAAAAATGCTGTTTTTTTTTTTTATTTACCTTGCATGTAATTGGATATTCTTTTAAAATTAAGCTTCACCTCAGTTACTAAGCTCTGGAACAACTGCACTTGAAAAGTGCACAGTCTACAGTATTTGCCTTTAGTAAATACACCCCAATGACTGCTGCTCCAGCAGTCCCATCCTAGAGAAGAGACTTAATTTTCTTTTTCAAGTATAGATACCGTTCAAATCAGAAGATAGAGGGGTTGGATGAGGAAAAAGCTGGCCATACACCAAATTAATTTTGTTTGAATGTTCATTTGGACATTCAGAAAAATCTTAAATCAGAGCATTCAATAGTACCATTATGGCCTCAACAAATTTTGTAAGAAAATGCAGAAAGATTGCAAACTCATGGCAACTTCTATTCAGGCGTCACCCAGGTGGCCCTCCTTTTCATGATCCTTGGATCCTTTAGATGCCCAAAAAGAGACATCCTCAGCAGGGGTGGACTGACCTTTCGAGCACTCAGGCACTGCCTGAGGGCCCGGGGTCAGTAGGGGGCCCCATGAAATGCCCCTGGTACCTTTTTTTTGGTAGGCTTTTTTGGGTGTTCTTTGAGTGTGGGCAAGGACACAGGGGCCCCATGATCCCCTACTGCTTGGGGACCCCATGAGTTGTCAGTCCGCCCCTGGTCCTCAGATACTTCATTGCTGTAGCTAGGGCAGTTATTCCCCGCCACTAGAAATTGACAGCACTACCCTCCCTTGAGGAATGGGCAACAAAATTAGACTCCATAAGGGACCTGGAACACTTGTTGGCGCAGGAAACAGGAAAGGAAGAACAATTTTCCTACACCTGGACTGCATGGTCCATGTTTCACTACTTCCTTGAACTTCAAGCTTGGACTAAAGTTGACCAGACCCTCAACTCACCTCGGCCATGATGGAGTGTCTCCAACCTTATCCTCGCTTTCACCCTTCTATCCTGGTTTCTACTCTTCATATTCCCACGTCCACCTCAATTTCCCCTATATACAGGTGAAACTAAAAAAAATTGAATATCGTGCAAAAGTTCATTTATTTCAGAAATGCAACTTAAAAGGTGAAACTAATATATGAGATAGACTCATTACATGCAAAGCAATATAGTTCAAGCATTTGTCGTGATTGTGATGATTGTGGCTTACAGCTCATGAAAACCCCAAATCCACAATCTCAAAAAATTAGAATATTGTGAAAAGGTGCAATATTCTTGGTTCAAAGTGTCCCACTCTAAGCAGCTAATTAAGCCATAACACCTGAAAAGGCTTCCTGAGCCTTTAAATGGTCTCTCAGTCTGGTTCAGTAGGAATCACAATCATGGGAAAGACTGCTGATCTGACAGTTGTGCAGAAAACCATAATTGACACCCTCCATAAGGAGGGAAAGCCTCAAAAGGTAATTGCAAAAGAAGTTGGATGTTCCCAAAGTGCTGTATCAAAGCACATTAATAGAAAGTTATCTGGAAGGGAAAAGTGTGGAAGAAAAAAATTCACAAGCAGCAGGGATGACTGCAGCCTGGAGAGGATTGTCAGGAAAAGGCCATTCAAAAGTGTTGTGGACTTTCACAAGCAGTGGACTGAGGCTGGAGTCAGTGCATCAAGAGCCACCACACACAGATGGATCCTGGACATAGGCTTCAAATGTCGTATTCCTCTTGTCAAGCCGCTCCTGAACAACAAACAATGTCAGAAGCGTCTTACCTGGGCTAAAGAAAAACAGACCTGGTCTATTGTTCAGTGGTCCAAAGTCCTCTTTTCTGATGAGAGCAACTTTTGCATCTCATTTGGAAACCAAAGACCTAGAGTATGGAGGAAGAATGGAGAGGCACACACTGCAAGATGCTTGAAGTCCAGTGTGAAGTTTCTACAGTCTGTGTTGATTTGGGGAGCCATGTCATCTGCTGGTGTTGGTCCACTGTGCTTCATTAAGTCCAGGGTCAACGCAGCCATCTACCAGGAGATTTTGGAGCACTTCATGCTTCCTTCCACAGACGAGCTTTATGGGGATGCTGACTTCATTTTCCAGCAGGACTTGGCACCTGCCCGCACTGCCAAAAGCACCAAAACCTGGTTCAATGACCATGGGATTACTGTGCTTGATTGGCCAGCAAACTCGCCTGACCTGAACCCCATAGAGAATCTATGGGGCATTGCCAAGAGAAAGATGAGAGACGTGAGACCGAACAATGCAGAAGAGCTGAAGGCCGGTATTGAAGCATCCTGGTCTTCCATAACACCTCAGCAGTGCCACAGGCTGATAGCTTCCATGCCACACCGCATTGAGGCAGTAATTGCTGCAAAAGGGGCCCAAACCAAGTACATATGCATGCTTATACTTTTCAGAGGTCCGATATTGTTCTGTGTACAATCCTTGTTTTATTGATTGCATGAAATATTCTAATTTTCTGAGATTGTGGATTTGGGGTTTTCAGGAGCTGTAAGCCATAGTCATCACAATTATGACAAATCACAGCTTGAACTATCTTGCTTTGCATGTAATGAGTCTGTCTCATATATTAGTTTCACCTTTTAAGTTGCATTACTGAAATAAATGAACTTTTGCACGATACTCTAATTTTTCGATCAGGTGATTGACTCGGCCATTGCAGAATATTCCACTTCTTTTCCTTCAAAGCTCCTCGGTTGCTTTTGCAGTGTGTTTTGGATCATTGTCTATCTGTACTGTGAAGTGCCATCCAATCAGCTTTGCTGCATTTGGCTGAATCTGGGCTGACACTATATCTCTAAACACTGCAGAATTCATCCGGCTACTTCTGTTTCCTGTCAAATCATCAATAAACACCAATGACCCAGTGCTGCTGGAAGCCATGTATGGCCATGCCATCACACTGCCTGCACCATGTTTTACAGATGACGTTGTGTGCTTTGGATCATGAGCTGTTCCAAGCCTTCTCCATACTTTTTTCTTCCCGTCATTCTGGTACAGATTAATCCTAGTTTCATCCATCCAAAGAATGCTTTTCCAGAACTGCTCTGGCTTTTTTAGATGTTTTCTGGCAAAGTCTAATCTGGCTTTTCTATTCTTCAGGCTTATGAATGGTTTGCACCTTGTGGTGAACCCTCTGTATTTGCTCTCGTGAAGTCTTCTCTTGATTGTAGACTTTGACAATGATACGTCCACCTCCTGGAGAGTGTCCTTCACTTGTTTGGATGTTGTGAATGGGTTTTTCTTTACCATAGAGAGGATCCTGCGATCATCTACCACTGTTGTCTTCTGTGGACATCCATGCCTTTTTGTGATGCTGAGCTCACAAACGCCTTCTTCTTTCCTCAGAATATAACAAACTGTTGACCTGGCCACTTCTAATGTTGCTGCTAGCGCTCTGATGGATCTCTTACAATGGCATGATTCACTTGCATGGACAGCTCCTTTGAACTCATGATGTAGGTTCACAGCAATAGATTCCAAATGCAAATGCCACACTTAGAATCAACTCCAGACCTTTTACCTGCTTAATTGATGAAGAAATAACAAAGGAGTAGCCCACACCTGAACATGAAACAGCTTTTGATTCAATTGTCCAATTACTTTTGGTCCCTTGAAAAAGGGGGCATGGCTATTCTTAAGAGCTGTAATTCCTAAACCCTTCCTCCAGTTTGGATGTACATACCCTCAAAGTGTGCACTTTCAGCCCATATCCATTATATAACTATAGCTTGAATATGTTTTGGTAAATTCCTGGGAAAAAAAACTAAAATTGTGCCTGTGTCCAAATATATATGAACCTAACTGCACTTGCAAAACTTCAATAAAGTAGGATTGAACAGAAAAAACCCCCGAAAGATGCTTTCAATTGCCATGACAATTCATGAAAACTCTTTGATTAATTTCAGGACTTGGCACATGGTTAATTGATGTTGGGTTCGTCATTACATCATCAACACCACTATGCATCATGGGTAGAGGTAAATGTGATTTTCAGGGGGGTTCACAACATCAATTAGCCTGGTAGTCTGTTTAAAGGGAACACCTTTTTCTTTATTTGGTGATATAATTACAGGTGCATCAATTACTTTGATGCTGAATATGATATTGGACAATTTTCTAGTTAGCTGGTTGAAAGCTTTTAAAGTTGCATGCAGTATAATTTTTTTTACTGTTTTTGTTAACTCTCAGTTTAAATTCCAGTAGAGTGGAGTTAGAACCTTTGTAAGGTTTTATCTGCTATCTGTGAGTCCCTATTAGGGGGACTTCCTTCCCCCTTACAGTAGTAAGGAAATCTTGCTAATAATGACAAAAGACAGCAACAAACACATACCTTCTAGCTATTTTCCACTCAGGTTTAAAAGAGGTGCTGTTATTGCTGTTTGTGCTTATGTGGAGAGATTTCTCTCACTTCCTGTCCTGGTTATACACAGAGGAATTTCCCCAGTGGGGTTATTGGAAGTACGGGCAGACAGTGTAATGACAGTTTACAAGAGCCTGACATTGCATCCGCGATCTGCTGATCCCAGTGGGGATACAGAAACTAATAAATACCTTTTTGTTTGGAATTTTACTATAAAATGTAAATTATTCTTATTATACAATGTTTATATAGCGCCAACAGTTTTCTCAGCGCTGTACATTGCAATGGGAGACAATACAAGAGACAGTACAATGACAATACAATGCGATACACGAGGGGTTTGAGGGCCCTGCTCCTTGGAGCTTACAATCTAGGAGGGAGGGGATAGTGGTACGGGAGGAATATCTGTGGGGGATGGAGTGGTAGGAAGAGTGGAGGAGATCGGCAATTAGCTTAGGGTGGGGTAGGCTTCCCTGAAGAGATGGGTTTTTCAGGGTGTGCCTAAAGGAGAGGAGAGTAGGTGATAGTCTGATGGATTGGGGTAGGGAGTTACAGACGATGGGGGAAGCCCTGGAGAAGTCCTGGAGACTGGCATGGGAGGAGGAGACCAGTGAACTAGAGATTAGGAGGTCTTGTGAGCAGTGGAGAATATGTTTGGGTGGTATTTGGATATCAAGTCAGTGATGCAGTTTGGGGCAGTGTTATGGACAGCTTTGTACGTCAGTGTTAGCATTTTGAATTTTATCTGTTGGGCAATCGGTAGCCAGTGGAGGGATTGGCAGAGGGGTGTGGCGGATATGGAGTGGTTAGTAAATGTAAATGTACTTTTGAATAACCCCCTCACTCCAGACCTCCAAGGCCTCCCCACCGTAGGTAGCAAAATTTTTAATATGGATTCATGGACTAAGGACTGGTAAGCTGCATATTTAGATTTTTGGGTTTAGATACAATCAACCAGAGGACTGGACTAAACTAAAAAAAAAAAAAAAATCAGGTTCCTCCATCCACAAACAGGTTCCTGTGTGCACACAAACAACATGGATGGAGGACCACCCCCCCCCCCCCCCCCCCCCCCCCCCCACCGTCAGATTATTGTATTCTGACAGTAGCAACTGGCAATGTCAGAATACGCTGATCTGCAGATTCAGTTGATTGGCTGCAGTCGGTGATCCATGGAATATTTTCCAACAGGCCCCTTTGACAGAGGTTGATTATACAATTGACTTCCGTAAAGTGGTGAACCGCACACTGTTCAAAGTTTGGCACTGATTGAAATTTCAATCAGCATATGGCCAGGCTCTAACCCTTAGTGGTGATCACTTTCGTAGTCCATTGAGCTTT